GACCGTCACATTATAACATCCCCACGGCTGAAAGGGCGAGCATGTTTGTTGTGACGGGAATTCGAACCCGCGACCCTCAGATTGCGAGTCGATTGCCCTAACCACCTGGCCATGCCGGGCTACCAGTAGAGACCCACACTGTTACTAGTGTTTACACCCTTTCAGGATATTTTGAGGACTTACCTAAAAAAAAGAATAGCAAATGTATTTTCACTTTGATTAATATTTAGTTCAGTTACCATAATTAAAGAAGCAGCTTTTATTTCCAATCACAATTCCTTCAAGTATAACTCCTAAAGACTAACAAATGTTAACCAATGCAAGCTTAACCCTCTCGCTATGGGCTTGATCGATTTGGTCAAATTCACGACTCCAAACTGACCTTTAGATTTTCCTTACTTTGGTTTTTAATATGTTTTGTGTATCTTCACAAAATTTGGCAAACTTTTATTAAACATTAAATGTCTTTTGTAGAAAAAAAATCAGAATTGTTAATGAAATATTTTTACTCAATATTTCTCCATGAATATATGAAGATTTAGTGTTGACTGCTCCAAGTGCAATTGATTTTCCTGTTAAGATTCTGATTCTAGTTTATGGCTCCATAAACAAATAAGATTGAAGGCTATAAAAATTACAATTTCCCTGAGTAATAACTATATTATAACAAGTAATTTAGAGTAAGTTCCATACTTTTTGGAGGGGTGTTAAATAAATTCTCATAGTAGGGGAGATTAAGGATTTTTTTAAATATTTCCTTATAAAAGTAAGAACTTAAAACTTATATAATATTAAAATTTGATTTATTAACTATGTTTTGATGCTAAGTTTATTTGTATATCATGATAATAAAGTAGTTTAATTAAATTCTGATGTAACTCTAAAAAATTATGAATACGAACTTTGACCTACCCATGGCAAGAGCCTAGAAGGTTAATGAAATGTCATTTATGGCCTAAAAAATTATAAAAAGAATAGAGAACATAGACAAACCTGACAATTAAAAGTAGAAGCAAAGCTTAGTAGTATTTCACTGTAAGCAAAATTCATAAAAAATATTGTGATATCCTTACCTGGCTTATTTTATTTAGGGAAAGATCTTGAAGATTATTAGATATTTTAGTTTCGTGATCTTGCGTTTTCTGTTACAAAATACCAAAATACAACATTAGTTTGAAATTTAACTTTTTTACTGTCAAAGCTTAGAACAACATATGTTAACATTTATTCACAGTTAAAGGAATCCTGTATATTATACTGACAAGTAAGAATTAAGTGTTAACATAACTTATAGGTAGGTATGGTTCTTGTAAATAATGAAAAATACCTTCAATTTCTATGAAATTCATTGCTCATCAAAATATATTGCAAGATAAACAAGTAAAATCTAATTTTCAGGCAACCACATTCATATTAATTCGGGTTCTAATCAAACTGTTTCTATCCTACAATAGTACTAACAAGTTATCTCTTAAAATTATAAATAATATTCAACGTTAAAATGGTACACAATTAAAAACATTTTATTTAGGC